TCTCTTCTCTTCTCTTCTCTTCTCTTCTCTTCTCTTCTCTTCTCTTCCCTTCCCTTCCCTTCCCTTCCCTTCTCTCACTTCTTTACTTTATCTCTTCTTTTCCCGCTTTCTTTGCCTCGTTGGCTTACTCAGTACTTTCCCTTCCATCAAACGTACTCCCTGCTTTCCACCTTCGCACACCGTCCTTTCCTTGTTTCTCCATCCCTCTTTCTCCCTCCTTTCTTTCTCCCGCACCGATCCGTTCCTTCCCCCGCCCCACCATCCTTCCTTTCCCCCCTCCCTCCCTCTCTTTTTCTCTCCGCGGAATCCCCTCCCGCTTTCTTGAGATCCTTCGTTCCGTCGCCTTCCGCCTGCGCCCTGGGCTGGAGAAGGCAAGAAGTTGGAGAAGGTTCTCTTCGCCAGCCAGGCAATTGCAGCAGGGCTGCGACTCTTCTCTAGTTTTGGGCTCCCTGCAGCGGCAGAGGCAGCGGCAGAAGGGGTGTGGTCAAGGCAGGAGGGGCTGCGAAAGGGGGAGGAGCTCCGAGCAGAGCCACAGAACGAAGTCGGAGCCTCACCGGCTCCTGAGCCGCCGCCGCCGCCTCCTCCGCCTCCGCTCGAAGCCTTCTTCCCGAGCGAGGGCACTGATGGGCATCGCCGCCTTGCCACAGCTGCCTGGGATCCAATCCTTTGCCGCTGCTTGCCTTCGCTGGAGGCGCCCCCCTGCGAGCGGTGGGGTCGTACTGTAAGATGTAGAATGCGCCCAGTGCTTAGAGCCAAGCGGCAGCAGCCTCTCCTGTGGCCCGGGAATGCGGAACCGCCAGCACCTCATTGGATTTGGATGGTCCCGAGCGCGTCTGGGCTTTTTCGGATCGGAGGCGCTGCCGGGGTAGTCCCCCCACCTCCTCCTCCGCTGCTGCTCTCTTCGCCTCCTCCTCCTCCCCCACCTCCCCCGCCGCCGGCCCCGTTGATCCAGGGGGTTTCGAGCTGGCAACTTCCCTGCGATCCTTTTGTGCCTTTGATGGCATCGGAGCACCACTCGACCGTTCACCAGCTCCCGTTTCTGAATGGACAGGTAAGGAACGCGACTTTTCCTCTTTTTTTCCTCTTTCGGTCACTTAACCATAGCCATCGCCGCTCCGTGCTTTTCTGGTTTCTTGGATGAAGGTTTTGGTAGTAGGCGCTTCTTGACTTCCAGAGACTACAGAGGTCTGCCCCACATCCCCGTGTAATTCGTTCAAAACACCACAAAAAGAAAGAAAGGAAGGAAGGAAGGAAGGAAGGAAAGAAAGAAAGAAAGAAAGAAAGAAAGAAAGAAAGAAAGAAAGAAAGAAAGAAAGAAAGAAAGAAAGGAGAAGCCACGGCAGTAGGAAAAAAAGAAATATTGAAGATAACCTTATGATGCGTAGGGAATATGTAACGTCAGATGCAACTTCAGTCGCTGTCCGAAGAGCCGTGGTGCTGAAGTTGTCTGGTTTATTTTTCTGACTTGCGGACGTGAGTCTCTGCTTCGGCAGAGCTGTGCCTTCTTTCTACAAGACTTAAAAATCCTGGCGCAGGAGAGGCTACATTAAGTATTAATAAGAATTTATTGCTAATGCTGAGCTTGTAATCTCCACTCTTAAACCACATAAACAACGCACATTCTTTACCTCGTATGTGTAGAAAACATATTCCCCAAAGATACTGCCTTCATAATAAGATTGCAGTCTTTTGATACTGAAGGGTTGTTTGCTGCTAATTTATAATAATGTACTTGTACCGACTTCCTACTAAGATCTTTTCTTTTAAACACAATTCCTGCTAATACCATCTCACTTTTCCGAAGAGCAGGAAGATGAATTTTACAATAAACAACAGCATTTGGAAATGTTTACTATGCCAATCCCCAATGAAAAAAAAAAAACCCTAAGCGACATGAACCAGCCTACTGCAGATGAATTCCTGTTCACAAAGAGCTAATAATCACTAGGATCTGTTAAAATTCATAGTGAAATATCTGTTTTCCCACCAAAATAAATTGGAACCTTGCATTAAACTCATCTCAATAAAAGCAAGGTAAATATTATTCTAATATTTCGTTAAAATTCTTTGCCGCAAGGTTAAACAAATCTTACATTATCTATTCAATATATAGGTTCTGCTGTTTTGTTCATTTAGTAAATTTTGGGAAAAGCAACACATTTTACGTATTTTCCCTCCAGTTCTTAAGAATTTTTCAGAACGGAGCTGATTTAAAAGAAGATAGGTTGTCACATAGCTATCTCCCTGAAGCTGTTATATCAGGGTGCTGCCACTAGAGGTATTTAGTGACTAGAAACTTGTGTTTCCCTTCATGTATAGAAATCTGCAAAATATTTATTTTAATAATGGAAGAGTGTGGGTGGTTATTTATGAATCTCCTTATTAGGGCAACCCTTTTTTCCATTGATTTGACTGAGTTGACTGAGACAATATTGGTCATTTTTATAAATAAAAATGCTGTGATCCACAAATATATCCAGTAATGTCATGTTTGTAGCATTCAGTAGCAGACATTAACTAATCTTGATCAAATATTAATTTAACCAATATATCTCATTAGCATTTTTAATGAAGACTTCAATTATTTATCAGGATTGTAATGTGAATTTTAAAATAGTGATAGGTGGTTGAGATTTGCCTTTAAAATTAAATGTGAACATTTGATTTCTTTACCTATACTAATTGTGGAATTGTTGTTTGCAATGCCTGAGACATAGGTTTGATGCTATTTCATTTATACATTATGAGATCTAAATTTGTTGGATTATTTTCAGCTTTTCACTAAAACAGCTAGAAACATACGCTGGCACTTAATAAACTGTACAAACGAAGCTTGGCAGTGAGTGAAGGCCTTTTTAAAACAAAATTGAAGAATTACAAAAAATGTCATTGCATTGAAGCAAATGAACATTTTGGTCATTCATGATAATGCAAGGTTAAGAAAGAGTGGTGATGAATGTTTCAATCATAAAAAGCTTTTCTTTTGTATGAAAAACAACTTGTTTGTCTGTTTATTAGAATATTTAAATCTTTTTATTTGGATAACATTATACTGTTGTCATTGGCTCATTTTTTAAAAATATTGCATTGCTTTCTGAAAAAACTCATTTCAGAAATTTCACAGTAAGAATAGTTTATAATATGAAGCAGGCACTGCTACATCTGTTCAGGGACATAACCTGTAGCTCATCATGATCCATCAAATCAATGAAGTCCTACATTTTTTCATGGTTATATTTGTAACAGTAGAGCCATATTCATGGCATGTAATTCTCCTCAATCCATTGTGCAACCAAGTTAAGGTGTTGTGCATTACACAGGGGACTTGTGACTTAAAATGAAGTTATGGTAAGAGATAAATTCAAATCGGTTGTGTAAAATCCTTCCAAACAGAAGGATTTTTTTAAACTCATATTTTCTATTATCCACATTTTATTTTTTTAAAAAAGTTTTAAATCTCTTTTCCTCCACCTTACAATTTCTCCATTTCTTTATACCTCTCATTAAGTGCTTGACTGTCCATGAATGGAATTTTCATCTGCACCTGAATAATGGATGAAAATGGATACATCTCTCTGCTGCTTTGCTCAGATTCAGATATTTCTCTTGGTTTGCTACATTTGCCAAATGTAACATTACCTCCAACATGTTGCATATGATGGGCAAGTTTGATCAATTGCCATACATCATCATGAGTTATGCACTGTCCCATTGTTATATAAATAAACAGCAGTAATAGTTCAGTTCTCGAAACCACACATTTTAATCACCTTTTCATGTTCTGATGGAAACATTAGAATCTACATGGATTTATACGGTATGTTTTTAAGTGGTCTTGTAATATAAATGAAGATCTAAAAATATTAAAAAAAAAACACCTTGCAAGTGCTATAGAATATGATTTAATATAGAGGATTCTAACTGTTCCAAAACTTTATTTTAGTGGATGTTTGGAGCTCAATCTCCAGTAATTGGATTTTCACCTTCCTCAACTGTGGAATTTGTTCCTCTTTTTCCTCATGTGTATACTACCACTGCTCTACCACATTCTGGGAAAAGTTGGGTAGAAAAGAGATTACCAAATTGCAAGGTAAGTTCTACTTCTACTGTTTTGAAGACTTTGCAAATAGCACTGCCTGAAAATTACAAATAACCGCAATCTGCTTTAATGGTGCAACAAAAAACCTTTCTGTGCATACAGTACTTTAAATACTGAATCTAAAATTAAGAATAGATTAGAATACAATAACAGAGTTGGAAGGGACTTTGGAGATCTTCTAGTCCAACCCGCTGCTTATGCAGGAAACCCTACACCACTTCAGACAAATGGTTATCCAATCTCTTCTTAAAAACTTCCAGTGTTGGAGCATTTACAACTTCTGGAGGAAGTTGTTCCACTGTTTAATTGTTCTAACTGTCAGGAAATTTCTCCTTAGTTCTAAGTTGCTTCTCTCCTTGATTACTTTCCACCCATTGCTTCTTGTCCTTCACTCAGGTGCTTTGGAGATTAAATGTTTAGGGCAGTGGTGGGATTCAAATAATTTAATAACCGGTTCTCTGAGCCTAATGATTTTTTTCAACAACCAGTTCACCAAACTGCTCAGACAGTTAACAACCAGTTCTCCTGAAGTGGTGCGAACTGGCTGAATCCCACCACTGGTTTAGGGTCTCCTGCATAAGCAGAGGGTTGGACTATAAAATATCTGAGGTCCCTTCCAACTCTACTCTTATTATTCTATGTTTTATATTCTATAATATTTATGAGGGTTGCAGTATTCTGGGGTCATGTGATCACCCTTTGCAACTTTCCTGTGAAGCAACATCAATGGGGAATCTTTGTTCAGTTAACAAACCATGTTACTAACTTAACAACTGCAGTGAGTCACTTAACTACTATGGTAAGAAAGCCTGTAAAATGGGGCAAAAATCACTTAACAACTGTCTCACTTAGCAACAGAAATATGGGGCTCAATTGTGGTCTATAAGTTGAGGAGTACCTGTATTAAAATAGCAACAGGTCTGACATTCAATATTAAACTTGAGAACTGTTAAATTTGCAACTACTATTAATAGCAAAACAGAATAACAAACATTCTAACTTTGAATATGTATGTATGTATGTATGTATGTATGTATGTATGTAATCTTTTATTTCAGCCCAATAGAGCGATTTGAAAATCTTTCTTTAAACAGAATAAAAATAAAACTACAGCTATACTTTAAAATTAAAAGCAATTTCAACCCAACAGATGATCTAACAGAAGATTAAAATAGTTTAACAGAAGATTAAAATAGTTTCATTTTATTTTTTGACCTTTTAACTGCTTAGATCTAGGAAGTGGATAAAAGACCTGCAATTATTTTAAAGCAGAAAGATTCTCCAAAGTTTGTACAAATATTCATCCCTTTTCAAGAGGGAAAAATGCCATATTGTGTACTCACAGGTTGCTGTTCTTCACCATGTTTGTTGACGGTTGTCAAAAGCTGAAAGATATTGCTGACTTGGCTAAGTTTAATGTTTGATCTAAAGACATGTGTAGTAGTAGCAGCAAAAACATCAACAGCATATCTGTGGTGGAATGGGACAGTGCAACTATTGGGTAGCATTGCAGCAACACAATAATAATAATTACAAAATGATGCAACTTCTCTATGTCTCCGGATATCCGAAGAAACCCTCAGCTCAGCTTAGGCAATGCTGTGTCTGAAGAGCTTTCAGTTGCAAGGAGAAACTTGATCTGTAAGAACAGTCTGAAGACTTCTCAAATCCCCTCTAATGATGAATGATTAATAGAGAGACTGAAGGGGCTTAATTGTGATTTTACTTGAAGATGAATCCTAGTAACTGTATTTCAATAAATTAACTGTTAAACATTCTTTTCTGATTTTTCTCTGGTTTTGATTGCACGCTGTAGTGCTGTTTCTAAAAGAGTGGCATCCCTCTATGGTTTGGATAGGGTATTCTACTTCTGGAGTGACAGATGGGAGAGGATGTTACTTGTCAGTGATAAAAGTATGTAATCAGTATGTAACTAGAATCAACAGTCTTGGATCAAGTAATAGAAACATCAGTGAACTATCCTAGATTATTGCACTGAACCTAATAATACCATTAATAATAATAATAGCATCTAAACAGATATCAAAGAGAGTCTGCCAATATGTGATCAATAGTGCAAAGAATCTGGTCCTTCAATGTGCCTAGTAAATTTGCTCAATAAGCATTAAGATGTTTTTGAAACAAGTTTGACTACATGGGTATAATCATGCAGTTGTCTTGAAAGAATTTGGAAATATGTGCCAGTGCTTTTCACCAACGTGGGTGGAAAGTAAGTCAATACTGTAAGAGAAGATGTTTCCAGCTTGATTTCTGAAAAATAAAAGATGGTCCATATACCAATTCAAAGACTCATAACATGTGAGGATGTGTAGCAATGACAGTTTTGAATGTGTTCACTAATCCATTCTTCTTGAAAACAATTATCATTGTAGTGAGCATTATATTTAAATTCTTCATGGGAATCAGAACTGAACTGGTATATGTGTACCAAAACAGTTTCTGAAACATTTGATATGTTTCATTAGAATCAAATTAGAACAACTTCATCTCCATCTGAATCTGAACTTCAACTAAAAAAAATATAATGTGATGACTTAGTTTCTAACATACTGTACCTATCAGATTAAGGCAACAAGGCTGTTGTAATAGGAAATAACAGTCCAGCAATATGAGAATTAAATTATGTGTGCATGTCTGTATATAGAACATAATTTAGGATACCTTTGGATCATTTTTATTCATAGCCAATACAGGAATCCATCATTTTGCCAACCTATTCTTGATACTATATTTTCATAAAATATTTTCCAGTAGCTAATAGTTGATAAACTTTGATCAGCATCAAGATTTCTTATGTATTTGGGCATATTTTTATCTTATGTTGATTCATTAATAATATTTTATATGTTGCGAATTAACATGTTAGTCCATGCAGAAAGGCTGAAATCCAAATCACAGTCTTAAATAGGTTTGAGAATTTGTACGTGCTTAGTGGCTTTGCTTTCTTTGAACATCAGGTTCTGATTATATATATGGCTTCAAAAAGAGTTTGTTCTGTGGCATTGCAGGCTTTCTTTTGAGAGACAGACTGGCATTTGGCTCAAAGCCTGAAATTAAGATTCATTTATTATCTAACATCAATATATTGATCTGAATCAGTACATGTACCTTAACAACATCAAGAAAAAGCTTCCATTGTTTTTAATAGAGCATCCTGTAGCCAAATACTTTTAATCCTTGCTTACATTAACCAAATTAAAAACAGGCCTTGCTAAATTTAATTGGTCTTTTAGTTAGCTCACCTTTGTAGGATAATCTTATTTTTATGGATCATGAAGACATGTTCTAATACTGAAAACAATGAAGATCCCTAAATGTAGAAGCCAGAAATAGGGGTCTGCCAGCAAGTGACAAAAGCAGTATTGCATTGTTGCAACAACAAAACAAAACAAAACCCTGTGCTGTTTTCTGCCTGTCATCACACACACATATCGCTGACACTGCTTTTGTCATGTTGATAAAAGCCTTCAATTCTGCAGACATCTCTGGCCAGAAAAGAAGAAATACCATTTTATTTATTTACTAATTTTTTTTATGTCACCCCTTTCATTAAGCTTGTTTGTTTCCAGATGGAAATTTATTTGCTTCTTATTTGAAAATATTTCCAAAGATTGGGAAGACTGAAAGTCTTCTAAAATCCTCTAGAAACTATCTTCCCCTAATACATCTCTGATATGTCTCTTATAGTAGTATAGGACAGATTACAAACATGTCTACATTAACTGGAAATAATGTTTGAGCTCAGTCTTCACCTTCCAAGGATGAATATTTTACGTGTGTGTGTGTGTGTATTCTTAAGTTTTTGCAGGTATTTATATGTATGGTATTCAGCTTTGTTTGGGTATTTTCCCATGTCATTATAGTTGTGCTTTTAAAGTATAGAGATATATTTCCTTTTTTTATATATTCTGTGCAGATTTATTTGAACAACACATTTGCTCTTGATTCAACATGGATTCATCCCAAGGAACTAAGAATCTACCAAGGACATGAAAAGCCTCTTGCTACAGCAAACCAAGTAGCTGTGGCAGTATCTAGGCCAGCCACTGCTCCCAGGCCTTTTCCTACAGTGGTATTAACACCTCAACCAATTGCAGGTTAGTTGTAAATAAATAACATTTGAATTATATACATTCCTTCATGATGGTGATAGTATGAGAACTTGTCTGGAGGCAAGCATTTCAGTGACAATCATCTCAAATGTGTATCAACTCCGGAATGTGTAAAACTGTGATGGGATATTAAAACATCAGAATATTTTTTCCATTTAGAAAGTATTTTTCACCAAGGGAAAATTTAAATGGCATGCCATATTACACATTGTTCTTGAAGTGCAATATGAGATAGCATCATCTAAGTCAGTGTTTCTCAACCTTGGCAGCTTGAAAAGGTGTGGACTTCAACTCCCAGAATTCCCCAGCCAGCAAATCCTGGGAGTTGAAGTCCACACCTCTTCAACCTGACAAAATGGAGAAACACGGATCGAAGTTGTGTAAGCTGCTTCTAAAATCTTAGCACCATAGAGATGAAAGGCCATTGAATTCAACTCTGACTTTATTTGGGGAATCCAGTTCAAAGCAAGTCTCACAGTTTGCCATCCAGCTTCTGTTTCAACATATCCATTGAAAGGAAATTTAGGAACTATTTTCGTAATTGGTTTCAACTTCAAATTACTTTTACTGATAATTGTTTTCCTGACCTTTTCCTTGAAAGCTTCAAAGAGTCATATGGAAAGAAAGTGGAAAGCCACCTTGGCTAATTTGATTATCTCCAATTTGAATGTAAAAATGATAAATTTCCTTCCCATGGTCTGTTAGCAATAACAACCATTACTAGGCAATATCATGTATAACCATGGATGATACAAATGCTTGTACATCTCCAGGTGGTAGCAAGAAACAAAATGGCACTTGTTGAAATAATTTAGGAAAATCTGCTGTCAAATTAGAAGTCTCATATTTCTGCCTATTTCTTGATATCACTATTGACAAATAAAGTAGAGCTAAAATTACTTTGTATGGTTTGGAAACTACAAGTTAATCGTTTGTCCTTTTATAGCCATATCATGCTGTTGCCTCGTGTTTATTTAGTCAGAGAAAAGTGCTTCCTTACATGTTTTTTCAGGAACGCACAGCTTGTTACCTCTTTTTAATGTAGGAGATTCAAGGGTTGTTGTTGTTATTGTTGCTCTTGTTTTGAATGGGTGAAATTAACGGGGAGCAACTGAATGAGATGCAGAGCTTCAGGAAGGCTACATTCTTCAAAGCTTAAAATATATCACAAATATTGTGTCTGTTTACATCTTCTTGTAGATGGTAACTCTTGATAGTGGTATTACATAGGTAATATGAGGGAACGTCTCTTGCCAGTCTGTTTTTTTTCAGAAAGCCATTTTTTGCCCTTCCAAGAATCCAGAGGCCTCCCCTGGCCTCTGGGAGGGTGAAAACAGCTTCCCCTGGGCTCTGGAGGCCCCCTGGAAACTGGAAACAGTCCCATTTCTGGACTTCCAGAAGGCCCGGTTTTGCTCCTCCCAGAGCCTCTGCGTGGACCCTGCACTTATCTCCATAGAAAATGAGCCATGTGGAAACTCCTGGGAGGGGTGGGGTGGGAGGGGTGGGGCCAGCCGGTCAGTTGGTTGAAATACCGGTTTGGCAAACCAGCTGTAATTTAGACATCTGGTTTACCCAAACTGGTCTGAACCAGTAAAATCCCACCCCTGCTGGTAGTGGCCAAGAGCAGGAAAGTTGAAGAGACAAAAGAGACCATTCGGGCTGCATAAGACCAAAGGCATACAAAGCCAGAATTGAAAAGACAGCAATAGACAGCCAATGCCATCTCTGCAAAGAAGATGAATAAACTCTGGATGACCTAATTAGTTGTTATAAGAAGGTTGCCCAGACTGACTGCAAACAACGGCATCTAAAACCATCTAAAACTATCTCTATTTATTGGACCGGAGGGAATATTTGCCTACTTCTTAAAAAAGCTACTTCTAAGCATAATCTTTGAAAAATCTTTCAGGACCAGCTCCTTGCCAAAACTATGGTCACAAGCCACGGTTATCCCCATCTTCAAAAAGGAAGACCCCAGCCTAGTTGAAAATTACAGACCAATCTCTTTATGCTGTGCCACCTGTAAAGTCATGGAATCAATTATTAACCAATCCATCATCCTCCACTTAGAAACAAACAACCTACTCTCTAATAAACAATTTGGTTTTAGGAAAAAAACTATCATGTAATCTGCAACTCTTACACTGCAAAAACATATGGACTACACAACTCGATCAGGGCAAAGCAATAGATGCAATCTACATAGACTTCTGTAAAGCCTTTGATTCAGTGGTAAATGACAAACTACTCCTAAAGCTAAAATCTTATGGTATCTCTGGACACCTTCATAACTGGATAGAAGCATTCTTGTCAAACAGACAACAAATGGTCAAAATTGGGAGCGTCCTATCAAATCCTGTACCTGTCAACAGTGGTGTCCCCCAAGGCAGTGTTCTAGGACCAATTCTTTTCATACTCTACATAAATGACCTCTGTGATCATATCAAGAGCAACTGTGCTCTCTTCGCTGTGATGTAAAGCTATTCAACACCACAGACAATACTGCTACCCTTCAAAAAGACCTTGACCGTGTATCAGAATGGTCAAACAAATGGCAACTTCAAATCTCAACAAATAAATGCTCTGTCCTACATATTGGCAAAAAAAAATCAGAAAATAAAATACAGGCTGAATAGTCAAGACCTTGTTGATGATCCAAACTCTGTCAAGGATCTTGGAGTACTCATCTCTAATGACCTAAGTGCTAGAGCCCACTGTAACTACATAGCCAAAAAGGCATTAAGAGTTGTTAACCTAATCTTACGTAGCTTTTTCTCTGGTAATATTACACTAATAACCAGACCATACAAAGCATTTGCTAGACCAATACTCGAATACAGCTCATCAGTCTGGAACCCACATTACGTATCTCATATTAACACAGTTGAGAAAGTCTAGAAATATTTCACAAGAAGAGTTCTCTACTCCTCTACTCGTTGCAGAATACCTTATTCCACCAGACTCAAAATTCTAGACCTAGAATACCTAGAACTACGCTGCCTTCAGTCCAATCTAAGTATAGTATATAAAATCATACATTGCAATGTCCTACCTGTCAATGAATACTTCAGTTTCAACCATAACAACACAAGAGCAAACAATAGATACAAACTCAAGGTTAATCGCACCAAACTTGATTGTAGGAAATACGACTTCAGCAACAGAGTGGTCAATGTCTGGAATACTCTACCTGACTCTGCTGTCCTATTGTTTCATATATAGCTTTGTTCGGGTATTTTCCCACGTCATAGTAGTTGTGCTTTTAAAGTTGTAGCGACGTTTTGGCAGAATCTCATCTGCCATCATCAGGCTTCTGTATAGTGTTCATCTGTGAGTCAGGCTTTTACAGTGGTTTCAGATTTGAATTTGGGGCAGCCTATTGCTGTGCCAGAATGGTTTTTTCTTCATCCTGATTGGTTGAGAGTCTTGGTCTGTGTTTATTGGTCTTGGAGTTTGCTGTGTTCTGCTTGATTGGTGTTTCTAATATCTTCTGTCTGTTTTTTGATTCTGCCGAAACGTCGCTACAACTTTAAAAGCACAACTACTATGACGTGGGAAAATACCCGAACAAAGCTGAATGCCATACATGTAAGTACTCGCGTTTTTCTATCTCTATGGGCATTTTTCTATCTCTATGGCTTCTCTGATTATTCTGTTGTTGAAGTGTTCGGAATAATCAACAGAATAATCAGAGAAGCCATAGAGATAGAAAAACGCCCACACAGCATGAATAAAAGAGATGACACCTCCCGCTTACCAGCCATTTGGAAACCCGCCCTCATGAACAGACGAGTACCTAACATGATGAATGACACCAGACCCACACCCACGAAGGCCACACAAGATGCCACCACCACACTTCCACGTAAAAAGCAGACTCACACCCACACAGAAGATGAGACACAACCACAGACCAGAAGCCGCACTGCAGCTGCATCACTACCCACTTCAAACCCCTCTGAGCCATACATGAAGCGAACTGACCCCCACCATAAAGATCCAGCACGACCACGAACTCGAAGCCAAACAGCAAGATCACAGCTCACCAGCTCAAATCCCCCAGTAACTAAGACCAACCTGAGCACAACCAAGCCCCCACCTGAACAGAACACACCTCCAGCCAATCAGAACATGACCAAGCCCCCAACCAATCAGAACACAGCCAAACCCCCAACCAATGAGAACACACCCCCACCCAATCAGAACACAGCCAAGCCCCCACCCAATCAAGTCACACCCCCACTAGCAGTTAAAAGGAAGAAGCAGCTGCAAGCTCACATCACTCTGAGAAGCACAGAGCTGAAGACAGAAGCCTGAAGATGAGGAATGAGACTTCATCGAAACGTTGCCTAGATACTTCCAATCTTACGCGGGAGAAAACCCGAATAACCAAAGATCTGCATACAAATACCATGTATCCATGTATTCATAACTATGTTTTTACTTATACCTATTATCTTGTAAGCAATTGACAAATAAAAATAATAAAAAATAAAAAAAATAAATCACAAAGTAGCAACAATGCTGCATTGAAATATCTGTGAGAAATACCATTTTCCTGCAAGCCAGAAATGGTAGAACTTCAACATAGACAAAGTAATAGAAACTGAAGAAGCTAAAGTGAAGAATTCAAACATTATAATTCAAAGAGATAAGAACCTGCCCTATGATATTCCAGCTTAACAATTGTCAATAAGGGGTGGGGAAAAACTTCTGGTCAGTGGATATTGCAATACTTGGAGGCAGAAGAATAAAAGAGAAAGAACTGGATCCCAAAATTTAAAGTCCTGAAAAAAAAAAAGCAGAATGACTATGTGGTAAAAGAAAGCAAAGCTAATACCAACCTTGGGTACAATCCCAAAGCATTTGGGGCATCATTTGAATAACATTGGCATTGACATTAATCAATTGCAAAAGGCAGCTTTATTTGGAAAAGCTTACATCCTTTAACATTATCAAAGAACAACACCTGCCTAATCCAGTCC